TAACAAAACCTGGCACAGCTGCATACCAACCAGAGGTACCAAAGGATTTGAGGGTCTCCCACGTCCACCCTCCACTTACATACCGCCATCCTCAGTATTACTCTCAAACCTCAATTGGGTTACCACCGCCTCCGACACCCAAAGAGCTCCGAGAATTATTATCCTCAGCTGCACAGCCCTCGTATCGGAGACCCTCACGGGCCCAAATTCCAGTTTTTTCCCCCCAGACCTGGGTCCATAGCTGCTCAGTCCAGTTGCTCAGCACCTGGGGTTAAGGTAGAGTCAAACACACCACCTTTAGCCCACACATCATTGTCAGAGCATGTGTACAGACGGCCTACATCTACCATCCCAAAGTTCAGTCAGCCAGATTCAAGTGAGTTCACCAGACTACGAATAGCTTTGGAAAACCTGCTCCCTCCAGATGGGACTCTTTAAATATCGGATATTAGTGAGCCACTTAAAGTTAGATGAGGCTAGACTGATAGCTGATGCTTATTTGAATTCGCTTACCCCCTTTACTGATACCATGGTGGCCCTCCATAAGAAGTTCGTTCAGCCCTACCAGCTGTCTGAAGAAAACTGAAGGTGTCCTGGAAGCCCCTGATGTAAAGCGGGGGGATACAGTTGCATTCCAGAAGTTTGTTCTTTAGGTACATTCGTTGAGGGGTTTGTTGAAAACCTTAGGACCTGAAGGTGACATTGAACTGAATTGTGGATCAGTCTTCTGAGCAAGCTTCCTTCCGACCAGCAAGCTGAATTCTGCCGTCACATGTTCTGTCACCCTGGAACTGCACCTGCCTTACACGACCTCTCTCAACTGGCTCCGCTATGAAGCCTGGTGTAATAGCTTTGAAGTAGAGACTGCCTCAAGACTGACAAATGACTAGGTCTGAATAGAGTAAGAGAACCGTAGCCATTCTTCATGGGGTTGGAGAGACTCAAAATGTAACTTCCCTGTCACCTCAGAAGGGAACTAATCAAGATTCTGTCCCTTCTGCGATATTACAGAGCATTATTTGAGTCAATGCAAAGCATCTGCTAGACTTACCACTGACAAACTCAAGGAATGGATTCAAGGCAATAACTTTTGTTGGTGCTGTGCCAGGACCCATCATGCTGCCCAGTGTGACCTGAAGAAGCCCTGCAATTTGTGTCAGGGTAAACACCTCCATCCTCTTCACGAGGTAAATGTCAGATCCTCACAAGAGGACACAGTCAGTGCTGAGAAGAGTTGCCTTATTAGTTCTTCTTCAGACAGATTCTACCTGGACAAACCTGTTGATAGGAACAGTGTCATGCTGAAGGTACTTCTTGTACATGTTCATTACGGAGACCTACCTTAGATACCTTTGTCCTCCTGGATGACAGTTCTAAGAGAACTATCCTGTTCTCAACTGCTGCCAAAGCCCTTGGCAAACAGGGCACGCCTGAAGATCTCCCATTGTGCACAGTGTGAGATGACATTGAGGTTGTTCATGGTTCCTCTATATCATTTCAAGTATCACCAACCCATATGCCTCAAACCAGTTACAAGAGTGAACATTCCTTCACTGCAGACCGCCTCAATTTGTCACACCAGTCTTATCCTGTGGATCAATTGCAACGGAAGTATAAACACTTACGGGGTCTTCCCATCCTGCCTTTGAAAGATGCTCAGCCTCTACTTATTATTGGATCAGATCAGCCGCATCTCATTACGCCAACCGAGCCCACCAGATTAGGATATCCAGGTGGACCTGCTGCTGCCCAGACACGCCTGGGATGGACCCTCCAGAGCCCTGCGTCATTCATGGGGCAGCCTGCATCCTTACAACAATGCCTGCTGACCTCTGTCTTCATCCCCAGAAAATGAGCTCTTTAAGAATGTATAAAGACTCTGGCAGATTGAAATTGTTCCACACAGGGAGAAAGTGGTGACTTGGTCCAAGCAAGATCAGGAGGCTATAAAACTGCTTGAAACCAAGACCATCCTCACAGAAGTGAACGGAATTCTCCGATTGGCAATGCCATTACTTTGACAGAAGGACATGCGTCTGTTGCACGCCCACGATCTTTGCTGTATCGAGAGAAGTTTGTTGAAGGATCCAGTGAAAGCCAAAACCTACAGAGCAGAGATGGAGATGCTTCTGCAGACAAGTGCTGTCCAGAAAGTAACTAGAGAGACAGCAGACTCTGACGAATGTTGGTATATACCCCACCACCTTGTCAGTCATAATGGGAAATCCCACCATGTTTTCAACTTTTCCCACCAATATCATGGGCAGGGTTTCAATCTGTACCCATCAGCTGGCCCTACCCTTGGAGCAGTGTTGCTAAGTGTACTCATCATTTTTAGGCAGCATCCAACTGCAGTCAGTGGTGACATCAAGGCAATGTTCCATCAGGTCTGCCTCGTTCCTGAGGATTGTCCCTTACTGCAGTTTCTCTGGTGTGATCTGAAAGTCGATGAGCCCCCTAAAATGGCAGGTATTACCTTTTGGCACTGCCTGTAGTCCTTGCAGTGCCACCTATGCTCTGCAGTGCCATGTAATCAAGAACAGCATGGCACCATGAGTACAGATAAGTGTTTTTATGTGGACAACTGCCTCCAGAGTTGGCGCCAGTCGGAACTGCTTGGAGCCTGCTGTGGTGTAATTTGCAAATATTGTAAATAAATTGCAAGTATAAATTTCAGTTTGATTATTAGTAATAATTACTGAAATTTGTTGTTTATAAGTCTAGCTAGCTAGCTGCCACATGCTTCTTCAGCTAGTAGCTTAGCTGCTTTTTGCAGCAAAATGCCAGACGCTGCTAACGTTGACCTATACACACACACATATACACACACATTGTTGTTCAGTCACACTAATAATAAGTACAGCCTAACGAATTTACCGTACCAAGAAAGCTAAAAGGACATTTTCCGCTGCCGGACTGTGGTATTAAAATCTTGGCCATTGGTCTGCCCTCTTGTTTAATATTCTGTCTCTCCTCGTAAGTATGAGCATCAAAAGAATTTTGTAAAATCAGGTGAACATTAGCGGTGTCTGGCATTTTGCTGCAAAAAGCAGCTAAGCTACTAGCTGAAGAAGCATGTGGCAGCTAGCTAGCTAGTCTTATAAACAACAAATTTCAGAAATTAATACTAATAATCAAACTCAAATTTATACTTACAGTTTATTTACAACATTTACAAATAAACACCACAGCAGGCTCCAAGTTTTTTTTTAGTTAGTTTTTTTTAGTATTTTAGTTTGAGATATCAGTCATGCTCCCTACCGATTTACCGATTGGCAGTTGGTCACGAGGTTCCACCACTTTGAGTGATCTACCAATCATCATAAGGAGAAGCAGTGTATCCAGACAGGGCAAGCAAAGAGCACACTGTCCAATAAACATCAAGATGGGTTTTTTCCTGTGCAAAACACACCTGCCCACACTCCATTCACTCCCAGTGAAGCCGTGCGTCCTGGCAGCACTCAAAATGACACGCTAAAAGCCTCTTGTCCAATGAGTGTCAATCTTTCATTCAATTAAAACACTATGTTCACGAATGTGTAACAAACACCAAGAGATGCACCGGCTTCAATAAGTATCTATTAGCACTGTGCTAGGGGCTTCAAGGGGGATTTTTATGCAGGCGACACTAGTCACTGAAAACAGTTTGAGCTAAATGAATGAACAGTGCGATATTGTAGTGAGATATTTGATTTGCTAAAATATTCCACCATGACTTATGAATAATATACACACTTTGGTAAAGATTTCATTGCCACATTTTTATGAAATTTTAAAGGGAAGCCAGGCTTCCCATGTAGTCTTAAAGCAAACACCTGTCACCAATTTAGATTTTTATCTAATTTCCCATCTTCACAAAATCGGAGTCAAATGGCTTAGGACAGAATGATCTTCAATAATTGACAAAATGTTGTTGAGATTTATGAACAATATGGCCGCCACCTACTAATCAGTTCTAATGGGGCAGATACTAATTCACTCAAACAGCTCCAACTCATGATTATTTATAGCAACCAACAGCAACGTGCTGGCAACCACCTGGAATACCATAGCAGCACCTTGGTAACTACCTGAAATACCTTACTAACCACCTAGCAACACCCTAGCAACCACCGATAGATAGGCAGATAGATAGATTTATTTGACGATGATATAAAACACACACAGTCATCGGAAAAAGACAGTACACTCTTCAATTCTGTGTTTTTATTTATCAGGACCTAAATAACAATTGTGTGGTCCTTACCAACTTCTATAAACAAACAAAAACCTCAGGTGACAACAGAAAACACAACAGATTTCAATATGTAGTCATTTTTCCCCAAAAAGTAAACCGACATTCAGAAACTAGGTGGGGAAAAAATAAGTACACCCTTCCTACTTCCACAATCATTCAGAGAGTAATTAGCAGCCAGGTGTTACTAATGAAGTGCACAAGATTAGATAATCATCAAGAATTGTGACTACCTCTATAAAGTGTTCTGGAGCACTCAGGTGCATGTCCCCATCATGCCAAGAAGAAAGGACATCAGCCATGACCTCAGAGAAGCAACTGTTGCAGCTCATCAACCTGGGAAGAGTTATAAGGCCATCTCCCATAAAAATTCAAATTCACCATTGTACAGTGAGAAAGATCGTTTATAAATGGAGAGCCTTAAAGACAGTTGCCAATCTTCTTTGGAGTGGGCATCCCATCAAATTCAGTCCAGGGTCAGACCGTTTAATGCTCAAGTATGAATAAGTATAGCTTTCATGGAAGGGTAGTAAGGAAAAAGCCCCTTCCCTCCAAAAAGAATATGGCAGCACGACTTTGCAAAATTGCATCTGACCAAACCACAAAAGTTCTGGAACAATATCCTTTGGACTGATGAGACCAAGATGGAGATGTTTGGTGAAAACCAAACACAGCATATCACCACAAACACCTCATACCAACTGTCGCGCATGGTGGTGCAGTGGTGATCATTTGTTTTTGCGATATTGCTATACACTGGAGAGGTTCCCTGTGGACTAGTGGCTAGCATACGGCACTCTCATCGCCACGGTCCGGGTTCGATTCCCAGTCAGGGAACCAACCCCAGCTACTGGAGTGTTGCACGAGCCAGTACACTCTCAATGCCAGTCCCAGAAATGCAGAGGGTTGTGTCAGGAAGGGCATATAAAACTTGTGCCAGAATCAAAATATGCGGATGGGTGACCTGCTGTGGCAACCCCAATGAGAGCAGCCAAAAAAGGGGTGAAATAAGCTATATACTGAAGACATCTGGGTTTGAGATCAAAATATGAATGAGACAATAGATCAGAATTTCATTTACTGGTATTTACATCTAGATGTGTTAAATAACGCAAAACATAACCCCTTTTGCTTGAACCCAATTCTTCAAGTGATCAAAAATATTGTGACTGACAGGTGTTTTTTTTTGCCCAGGTGTGCTTTGTTAGATTGACTGTTTAAACTATTAATAGCTCTGAATGTCTACTCTTGGTTTGAGCCCTTGGTTTCACCTATGAAGACTGCATTTGTTAAACCAATATGCAGACTAAAGATCTGTCTATGGGAGAAAAGCAAGCCATTTTGAAGCTGGGAAAAGAGGGAAAATAGATGCCTTTGCACAAGCATTGGGCATAGCCAATACAACAATTTAGAATGTCCTGAAAAAGAAAGAAACCACTGGTGTACTAACAACCAGACATCGAACAGGTCGGTGTGAGAGCTGTGAAGAAATGTTCAACAGCCAGTGACATCAACAACGTCCACAGGGCAAGGGTGAAGGTATCACAATCTACCATTCAAATAAGACTTCGAGAACATAAATATAGATCCCATACCACAAGATGCAAACCACTCATCAGCAGCTGGAATTGGAAGGCCAGTTTGGAATTCACAAAGAAATACAGGGATGAGCTACAAAAGTTCTGGAATGAAGATAAACCTCTAAAAAAGGGATGGAAAGACCAAAGTGTGGAGAAAGAAAGGATCCGCTCATAATCCAGAACATACGAGCTCATCGATCAATCACGGTGGACATGGAAAATAAATTCATAAGTCTACAGAACCATTCTGTCTGCCAATTTACAGAGACATGCACCCAATTTAATTGGTAGGAACTTCATCATGCAGAAAGTCAAGACAATGACCCAAAATACACTGCAAACACAGCAAAGGACTTGGAAGGTTTTAGACTTGCCAAGTCAATCACCAGACCTTCCTGAGCATGCATTTCACCTCCTGAAAAGTAGAATGAAGGTAGAAACCCCCCAAAACAAACAACAACTTAAAGAAGCTGTGGTACAAGCCTGGAAAAGAAGAATTCAACATTCTGGTGATGGCAGTGGGTCATCAGCTTAATACAATTATTGCAAACAAGGGATATTCAACCAAATATTCAGTGTTATTTACTTAATATTCACTTTAAGACTATGTGTTTCAATACTTAAAAATTGGGTGGTCTACCAGCAAAGATGTTATGTTCTAAGCTGTTTAACACATCTTGCTATATATAAATATATATATATGAGGAAACAAAAGCTGAAATTCTGATCTACCATCTCATTCATCTTTTGATCTCAAACCCAAATGGCTTCAGTGTACAGCAAAAACAAAAGAATTGGCCTTGCTGTTCTAATACTTTCAGAGGGGACTCCACTCACTCACTCACTCACTCACTCACTCACTCACTCACTCACTCACTCACTCACTCACTCACTCACTCACTCACTCACTCACTCACTCACTCACTCACTCACTCACTCACGACCCTTCAGTGTCTCTCAAAAAAGCTGATGTGGCCCAGGCCGAATCTGAATTTGACATCCCTGCTCTGGATGGTCCAACATGGATATCCTTAAGCTTACACTACCAAAAAAAAAAAAAAAAAAAAATAGTTTATGCCCAAGACTCACCCATTCTTCAGTGGATAGTTTCTCTTGGAAACTACAGACTTGTACCTACAGTCCCTCATGCTAATACTGAATATCCTTTTAACACACTCAATATACTGTGTGATTATATAGTATACAACTGTGGAAGATTTTTAATCCCACTATCCGGTGTCGCCCATATAATGTTATATTCCCTGTTGAGTCTGGTTCCTCTCAAGGTGTCTTTCTCATGTTATCTCAGGGAGTTTTTCCTTGCCACTCTCTCCTCTGGCTTAGTCATTAGGGGTCTAAATCAACACTGAGCTAATTGAACTAAATTAGAAAAAATATGCAGCATCACCATATGATCAAATACATATTTTCTTCTGGTTTCACAAAATCTAAAGTTTAACCCTTGTAAGAGTGTGCACTGTTGTAGTAAGGCTACAGATTAAATATAGCTCCTGTGGCTTACTGTGTAGAATATGAACCTAAACTGCATAATGCTACATAATGTAAGAGTATAAAATGGATGTTATACTTTGAACTGAAAAACAACAGAGAAAAAATAAAATGCTGTGCTGCAAAAAGTAATACTGATTAAAGTAGGAGCATATTGGAAGTGCCACTGCATCTGGTGTAACATGGGCTTTACGAGCAGAGAGAACAATTCAGGCTGATTCACTGTCAGCTTGTTAGCTAATACAGCGTTATCAAAAATTGGTTAGAAGAACACTGGTTAAGAAGAACAGCTAGAATGATCAGTGAGCCATTTCATTCATTTCAGGGACACAAACAACGAAACCAATTCCCTTTAAATTTTTTTAAAATGTCTGATCTCACCCAAGTTATGGTAAATGCAACTAGACACTAGTCTATGTATGAAGGAAAACATATGACAAATAAAATTATACAATAACAATTTTTACAACCCTGTCCGTCACAATGACGGATAATGAATAACTGTAGTGAAACCCCTAGTCATGCTAACTAGCTGCCAATACCTAGACAGCTATGGTAATTTAACCAAATAATGGTAATAATGGTAGCTATTTAATTTAACCAAATATTTATGATGAGGCTGTTGCCTAGTGGATTAATTCAGAATAAACTTAATATAATTCACCCAATCAACCCATTTGTCTCATAAATGGGCAGAAGGCATAACTGGTCAATGTCTATAGTGCAACAGCTGGATTTGGTTTCAAAGTTTCAAATACACCATTGAATATGGTATACAACTAAAAATATAAGAAACCTGCTTGAGGCTGGTTTTCTTCACTAGTTAGTTATTAAGAAGAAAAGCAACGCTGGTGACCAGAGCATTAAAAGAGTAGCCTACTGAATCAAAACCTGAAAGCCAGTATACACAGTCTGCTCACTTAAATTGGTCCCCCACAAGGGGACAACCATAAAGTTTAGGATGATATTACCGTTCGGGCAAGGTCTCTCTTCATGGTGCTGTGAGTAAGGAGTTGCAGCTTTATCTCAGTCTCCCATTTCCTGCAGTTCTGCACATACTCGTGGCTGCCCAGACTGTGCTTACTAAGGAACAAAGAGAAGCATCACGCTTGGGTTAGTGGCAAAATGTAACTATAGCATCAGTATTGAAATGTCAAAAAAAAAAAAAAAAGTTTGAGCTTTAAATTTTTTTTTTTATACAATTTTAATATTACATTCTTATTAGATAAGCTATGTCCATACACATGTCCATAGCATAACCACACAGGAATAAAAGGCTACATTTTTACTATTATTAACTTTAGTTACAGACTTTTAAAGCCAGTTTTTTTAAACATATTTTGATACACTCCTTCTTTGATCACCCTGATGATGCATGTCCAAGCTTAAAAATTATTTTCTTGGTACATCATTTGTGTTATTTGTAGTCTAACATCTGATTGACACACTTTTAAAAGTGTACTTCCAGAGGCTAAAATTCTGTGTTAAAATCACTAATGTTTATCTTCGAACAGTGGAAAAATAACCAAGAACAGCAGAGGCAAACAAGTCTGTAGAACACTCAATCAGACTGGATGGCAAGCACTTGTTAATTGCCATCTTCGGGTCTCTCCACAGATGTTCTATGGGTTGAAGTCTGGGCTTGGCTGAACCACTCAAGGTCATTCAGAGACTTGTTCCAAAGCCACTCCAGGTTCTGTGCGCTCTAGAGCAGGTTTTCTTCAAGCAAATTTCTGTATTTGGCTTAATTTACCCTTCCCTCATTTCTGACCAGTCTCCCAATCACTGCTGCTGAAAAGCACCCCATAGCATGATGCTGCCACCACTATGCTATGCCATAGACTCCGATGTGGAAGTATAAAAATAAATTAATAAATTAATAATAATAATAATAATAATAATGAGGGAAGAAGAAGCAGAAGAAAACATACAATCACTATAGGGTGCCTATGCAAATTCAGTGCTTGGCCTCCTAATAATAATAAGAAGAAGAACAAGAAGAGGTAGACGTAGGAGAAGGGCAATCTGTGGGGTCCAGGCATTCTTGGCAAACATCGCCCCCAGTGACCAGCCCTTGCCAATGTACACACAACAACAAAAGACACCATATATGAATATACTTACGAAGTTTTGTGACAACAGCTCAATGCTCAATAGTTGTGTGAAATGCCTTCTGAAAGTTGACTGGCTGAAGGTGGCCATGTTTTTGAAGTAATTCAGTGTTGAGTAAAAATCCAGTTACAGATTAGCACATTAGCACATTGATACAGCACACCAAATTTCAACACAATTTTGTATATTACGCAAATTATTGTAAACTGGCATGGGCAGGGCTAAATGATTCAAATGATAAATTTATATGGATTGAGCCAAGAAATCAGCACTAACAAGGAATTTCACTGTTTCCCATTCAAGTTTCATGACAATAGCTTCATGTTAACCCCATCAAATGCATGCTAAAATGTGACTGGCCAATTGCATCCATGTTTTTTAAGTAATTAGGTCATCATCAAAATTTCACTTACAGATTAGCACACTAATGTACCATACCAAATATCAGCTAGATCTGACTTACGTTTCCTGAGAAACAGTAATCTGACCTTAGCTCTGCCCCTATTCATAATCACACCTCAAACTTTGCACATGACCTCAGAATCTTGTCCTGTTTATGCCTTTCAAGTTTTGTCTGGATGAACACAAACATTCATTGAGTTACAGCTCTTTGAGTAAATTATGCTCCGGCTCATT